CTGTAGTCATCAATAAGATTAGGAAGAGGATTTGTACTAGTGCAGAAGAGAAAAAAATCATAGTTGGATAGTTACCTTAGAAATGTTCTATACCTTTTTCTTCATTTTTCCTAAGCCTATAGACTTCTGCAGATCAAAAAAAATTTTTAAAGGCAATTTCATATGGTTCAACCTAATAATTGTAAACAGGTAAGCCAAAGCATTTGATTCTTAGTGAGATATATATTCCTTTCCAGTATTATTCTGTCACTAATCCTAAATTTCACTTAGGATACATAAAATCCCACACAGAAAATACTGTTTCCATTTGTGTTCTTAGAACTAAGCTATATATAGACTGTCTGTGCTCATAAGAAGGGAAAGCATGATAAAAATAGAATTTGTCTTCTTTGGTCCATGGAATCCAATAATGTACTAGATGTGTTGGAACTAGTCACCTTGTATTTGCAGAATAGCTATTTTTCGAAGCATTTTCATTTTTCCTACACCCTGTGAAGTATGTAGATCAAGTATTATTATATTTTGCAGGTGAAAAGATTGACTTACTCAAGCACTTGATTAGATCCTAAGACACCAAGTTCAGGAGTCTTTCCATTCAACCCCACCCCTTTGTTTACTGATATCTAGAATTTTGCAAGGTGAAGGTTTTAGAAGACACTTTTTCACCCTTCTATATTTCCTATTTTATTCTCACTCTCCCTTTCCCCCCGGGGAAATGCGCTACAGTATAAACATGTGCTGTTTCTTCTCCATACCCAAAATATCTCCAGTCAGTTTGAAGAGTTTCTTCTCTTTCAAAGTTCTTTCTGGAGGCCTAATTGGACTGTTCATAGCAGGAGCTACATAGATGGGGTTGTGCTTATCTCTTATACCAGGTAATGATGAAGAACATTTTGCTGTCAAAAATTCAAATGTAAGCCAAGAAAATGTTATATTTCATTAAGCAGTCATCCATCAAACATTTGTTGAGCATCTACTATGAGCACCTCCTGTTAAATGCTGAAGAAACAAAGAAAAAGGATACCTAAACAGTGCTTCTCAAACTATCTATCATGAAGGACTTTTTAAAAATTTTAACTTCCAATCCAGTGGGGACTGGTACTTTGGTAAAATACAATAAAAATTAATTACTAGAAAAATAAAATAGAACAGAGGCATATAAAATATAAGCACAATTTTAAAAATCAGATTCAATACGCATAAAATTAATCAAGTTGTTATAAAAGTTTCCGAATGCTTACTTTCATTTTTGTACTTATCTTGGATTAGAAACAAACAGTTCTAGACAGTGCATCACACTTTGGGTAGCACTGTTTTAGAGGGGTGTTTCTCAAATTTTAATGTGCGTAGGAATCACCTGGGAGTTTTGTTAAAATGCAGAAATCTGGGGTGAGGCGTGAGACTCTGCATTTCTGACAACACCAGGAGATGCCAATTGTGCTGATCTGTAGACCACACGGTGAGCAGAAGAATCTAGAGATATGGAAATCAAGAGGTGGGGATTAGAATATGACAGAAAACCTGGCAGCATGTATGTATGTGCCAAGTGCCATGGGATCACTGAAAAGTGAGAAAGTAAATCTACCTGAGGGAGTAAAGAAGGCTTCACAGAGGGAGTACTGTTTGACAATGTTTTGAAGTATGAGTAAGACTTCTCCAGAAGGACAAGGATGAGGATAAGAAAAAGAGTCATTTACCACCCTGACAGGGAACACAACAGAGAGTCCCTGATGGAGCAGGAGAAAGGTGGGGTGCAGAACTCAAATTCTAGTAAAAAGACCAGACTGAATGGTCTGAATGAGACTGGAGGAACTCCAGAAAGCACGGCCTCTGGATTCTCTATCAGCCCAGAACTAAAACAATTTCCGAGGCCAACTCTTCAGACAGGGATTGGACTGGACTGTGGGACATAAAGTGATACTCATGAGG